CATGACAGGGTTATACAGATTGAATTAGATATGTGTGCATATTCAAGGTTATAGATCTAATATACATGGTGAGAAAGGTAGCTTTAAATATCTAGGAGTTAATGAGAAATTAATATATCTGAAAGGGTAGGCCTAAATGTCAATAAAATAAAAAATAAAAAAATAAAATAGTTAATGAGATAATTAATATATCTGAAAGGGTAGGCCTAAATGTCGGATTAGAAGCGTTAGTAAAGCTCCGAAAACAATGAATGAATAAGAACCAGCAGGCAGAGACGAGAGGGAGTAACTGGGTCCACGCGTGACCAGATATGAATGGCAGATCAGCTGATACCGGAGAGTAAAAGTAACCGTTCTGGGACCCGTGTTATGAATGGGGTTGACGCGTAGGTAGTAGTGCTAGGTATTTATGAATGGAGAGGGCGGTCTGGCCGTGGGACGGGGATGCGGCTGGGGGATAGGGAGGCGAGGGAGGTGTTAGGGATGGGATAGAGAGGCCAGAGGAGGTGTAGGGATAGGAGAGACGGATGGGATAGAGAGCCAAGAGGAGGTGTTAGGGATGGGATAGAGAGGCCAGAGGAGGTGTTAGGGATGGGATAGAGAGGGGAAAGGTATTAAGGGCAGGGATAGAGAGGGGGGGAAAGGTGTTCTAGGGAAGGGAAAGGTATTAGGGGCAGGGTAGGGAGGGGAAGGGTAGTAGGAGAGGGTCTGAGGGGCCCTGAGAAGGGGATAGGGAAGGGAAAGGTACGAAGGGGATAGATAGGAAGAACAAAAGGCCAAGGGAAGCGGAGGAGGGATAGGAAGAGCAAGGAGGTCCTAAGGAAGAGGTGTAAGAAGTCCTAAGAACGGATAAGGAAGAGAATTTAGGAGAAGAGACGGGGAAGTAGATAAAAAGAACCTGAGGAATGTTAAATCGAGAAATGTGAACCTAAAGCATGGAAAGAAAAAAAAAAACAAAAAAAAAAACTAAACAAACACAATACAAACGCTTAATAACTCAAAAAGAAGATAAAAAACAATAAAACACTTAATGACATAAAACAAAAACAAAAAATACAAACACAATGACTCAAAAAACAAAAACAAACAACAAAAGAATTCAAACACAATGACAAAAAACACTACAATGACTCAAACAAAAACAAAACAAACAAACAAACAAACAAATACAAAACTCTTAAACGACCAGGCCTTGTAACCAAGGACCACCCCCAACCCCCACCCCCACCCATCCCCCCCACCCCCCACCCCTACCCACCCCTACCCCCACCCTACCCCCCCCACACGCAGGTTTCGGGTCTCGGCAGACACGACGACCGAGTGAATGGCTGATCACAAAAAAAAAGAAAAAAAAGAAAGAAAAAAAAAACTTGGCTGAATCACCTTGACAAAGTAGACCATTGCCGTCTGGGTGAGCATCCTTCGGGGGAAGAATATGCTCTTCTTATCGTTATTATATTCTTTTTTTTTTTCCTCCTCTGTTTTCTGTGTTATTATCTGTGTTTTTTTGTTCTTGTTTTTTCTTTATATTTTTATTGTTTTTGTTTATTCATTATCTTATCGTTATCCTCCTCCTCTGTTTTCTTATATTATCTTTGTTTTTTGTTCTTGGTTTTTCTTTATTTTTATTGTTTTTTATTTATTCATTATATCATTATCTTATCGTATCATCTCTTTTTTCTTAAATTATCTTTGTTTTTTGTTCTTGGTTTTGCTTTATATTTTTATTGTTTTTATTTATTCATTATCTTATCGCTGCTATCCCTTTTTTCTTATCGTTATCATTCTCTTTTTTTCTTAAATTATCATTGTTTTCATTCTTGTTTAAATTTTTTTTGTTTTTATTTATTCGTTATCTTATCCATTTTTCTTAAATTATCATTCTTTATTTCGTTCTTGATATTTCTTTTTTCTTATCGTTATCATCATCTTTCTTAAATTGTAGTTGTTTTCGTTCTTGCTTTTTCTTAATATTTTAGTTGTTATTAATTTCGTTATCTTATCGTTACTATCCCTTTATTCTTTTGTTATCATTAATTTCTTTTTCTTTCTTTTTTCATTGTTTTTATTCATTCATTTCATTATCATTTCATTATTCTTTATATCATTATCATTCCTTCTTTCTTTCATTACCATTCCTTATTTCTTTATTCATTTTTCTTTTTATTATTCCTATTTTCTTTCGTTATTCCTCTTTCTTTTTTTATTTCCATGATATTCCTCATTTCTGAAATTATTCACTTTTCCTCTTTCCCTTTTGTTATTCCTTATTTCTTTCATTATTCCTCTTCCTCTTTCTCTTCGTGACATTCCTCATTTCTTAAATTATTCACTTTTTCTCTTTCCCTTTTGCTATTCCTTGTTTCTCTCATTATTCCTCCTCCCTTCTTCTCTCTTCGTAATTCCTTATTTCTTCACTCCTGCCGTTCCTATTACCATATAGAATGTTGATTAACCTTTTATGTTCTTAACGTTGTTGTATCTCCCACTTTCTTTTCAATTAATTAGATGCAATCGAGAGATGGGCTGACGAGATGACTGGCTGACGAGAACTGGCTGACGAGATGACTGGCTGACGAGATGACTGGCTGACGAGATGACTGGCTGACGAGATGACTGGCTGACGGAGATGACTGGCTGACGAGATGACTGGCTGACGAGATGACTGGCTGACGAGATGACTGGCTGACGAGATGACTGGCTGACGAGATGACTGACGAGATGACTGGCTGGACGCTGACGAGATGACTGGCTGACGAGATGACTGCTGACGAGATGACTGGCTGACGAGGATGACTGCGCTGACGAGCTGACTTGGACCTGACCGAGATGACTGGCCTGACGAGTGACGGCTGACGAGATGACTGGCTGACGAGCTGACTGGCTGACGAGATGACTGGCTGACGAGATGACTGGCTGACGAGATGACTGGCTGACGAAAAGATTGACTCTGACGAGATGACTGCTGACGACTGACTGGCTGACGAGATGACTGGCTGACGGAGATGACTGGCTGACGAGATGACTGACTGGCTGACGAGATGCGCTGCGAGATGACTGGCTGACGAATGACTGGCTGACGAGATGAGCTGGCTACTGGCTGACGAAAAGATGATGACGGCTGACGAGATGACTTGGGCTGACGAGATGACTGGCTGACGAGATGACTGGCTGACGAGATGACTGCCTGACTGGCTGACGAGATGACTGGCTGACGACTGATGGCTGACGACTGGCTGACGAGATGACTGGCTGACGAGATGACTGGCTGACGAGACGATGACTGCTGACGAGATGACTGCTGCTGACGAGATGACTGGCTGACGAGATGATGGCTGACGAGATGACTGGCTGACGGCGACTGACGAGCTGACTTGACTGAGCTGACTGGCTGACGAGTGACTGGCTGACGAGGTGACTCGCTGACGACGATGACTGACTGGGCTTGACTGACGAGCTGACTGGCTGACGAGATGAACTGGCTGACGAGATGACTGGCTGACGAAGATGATGACTGCTGACGAGACTGACTGAGAGCTGACTGGCTGACGAGATGACTGGCTGACGAGATGGACTGGCCTGACGAGTGACTGGCTACGAGATGACTGGACGAGGCTGATGACTGGCTGACGAGATGACTGGCTGACGAGATGACTGTGCTGAGATGACTGCTGACGAGTGACTCCTGACGAGATGACTGGCTGACGAGATGACTGGCTGACGAGCTGACTGGCTGACGAGCTGACTGGCTGACGAGATGGACTGGCTGACAAGATGACTGGCTGACGAGATGACTGCGCTGACGATGAGGCTGACGATGACTGCCGACGAGGTGACTGGCTGAGAGTGACTGACGAGATGACTGGCTGACGAGATGACTGGCTGACGAGATGACGTGCTGACGAGGTGACTGCGACCGGATGACGAGGTGACTTGGCTGAAGACGGCTGACTGGCTGACGAGCTGACTGTGACTGACTGGCTGACTGGCTGACGAGCTGAGCTGAGCTGACTGAGCTGACTGGCTGAGAGCTGACTGGCTGACGAAGCTGCACTGGCTGACGAGCTGACTGGGCTGCACGAAGCTGACTTGGCTGCGAGCTGAACTGGCCTGACGCAGCTGACTGGGTGCCTGACGAGCCTGGGACTGGCTTGCACGAGCTGACTGGCGTTGACGAGCGACTGGGGCTGACGCAAGCTGGACATGGCTGACGAGCTGACTGGCTGACGAGGAACTGACTGGCTTGACAGATGACTGCCTGACGAAGCTTGACTGGCGGACGAGCTGACTGGGCTGACGAGATTGACTGCTGACGAGCGACTGGCGACGAAGATGACTGCTACGAGATGGACTGGCTGTACGAGATGATGGCTGACGAAAATGATGCGCTGACCGAGCTGGACGGATTTGGCAGGTTGACGGGCTGGGGGGGTGGGGTGGGTGGAGGGGTGAAGGTGAAGGTGTGTAGTCTGTGTGTGATTTGGCGGAAGATTAAGGGGNATATATATATTATATATATATATATAATATATATATACACACACACACACGCACACACACACACACACACAGACACACACACACACAGACACAGACACACACACACACACACACACACAACACACACACACACACACACACACACACACCACACACATATATATATATATATATATATATATATATATATAATATACATACACACACACACACACACGGCGCGCGCGCCACACACACACACACACCACACACACCACACACACACACGCACACACACACACACACACACACACACACACACACACACACACACACACACACACACACATATATACATAGACATGTATAAATGCAGCTATCAATACACAAACCAAATGATCAGATCCATAATCCTACAACGCACAAACGAAGCCCGATGACTTAAAAAAGTCCGTCCTTGCATCGAAGAGGAAATCTATTTTTACCTTTACTAATTTCTGCATGCAATCTACTCTATTAAGATAAATCTATTCATCATAATTACGAGGAATTCTCATGTCTCTATGTAGGTTTAAGCATTATGACAAACGTAGATTATGTAGGAATTTTTGCTTATGGGAGTATTAAGAGTGGAATTCAGACAAGCTTTCATCTGCAGGAACAGCAGTTTTCACAAGTGGGGGAGAATTGGCTACTCTGCAAATTGCTGTTTCTGCTTCCTTTTCGCTGGGCGTGGCTGGCTGTGTGTGTCTGCGTGTCTGTAGCTTTGGCTTGGTGGTCTGTGTTTCTCTCTCTCCCTCTCTCCCTTGCTTTTTTCTCTGTCTTTCTGTCTGTCTGTCTGTCTGTCTGTCTCTCTTTCTCTCTCTATCTCTCTTTGTCTGCTTACCTGTTTTTTTTCAATCTTTCTGCTCTCTCTCTGCCTCTCTCTCTCTCTCTCTCTCTCTCTCTCTCTCTCTCTCTCTCTCTCTCTCTCTCTCTCTCTCTCTCTCTCTCTCTCTTCTCTCTCTCTCTCTCTCTCTCTCTCTCTCTCTCTCTCTCTCCTCTCCCTCCCTCCCTCCCTTCCTCCCGCTCCCCCTCTTTCTCTTTCTCTCTCTCCCTTTTTCTTTGTGTGTTGGTGTATCTGTGTGTATATGAGTTTCTCTCTCTCTATCTCTCTTTTGATAAACAAAAAACAAAAGAAAACAAAAAACAGAGCAAATATAACTTGAACAGAAATGAACCAGACAAGCTTTATATTTTGTTCGACAAACCATAAATTTCTTCCTAATTCAAAATTTTCCTTTGTATCTCTTTGATTTTGATTTTTTTTTTTTTTAACGTGAAATATTCTCCGTTATTTATAGATATGTCTCTACAGACTTTTATTTCCTTTCATTTTTTTTTCTTTTTGATGTTTTCCTTGACTGTGATATAAACGGATCTTTTACAAACAATAAAATAATCATGGGAGTGTTTTGTTTTATTTAATTCTTTACTTCCATTCTCGATAGCATTATATTTTCCACTTGTATACACGATGCGTAATGTTATGACTGCCCCTAAAATGTAATAATAACAATAATGATATTAATGATAATATCAATGATAATAAAAGTAACAATATTAATTGCAATAATAATGATAGTAATAATCATAATAATGATGATATTGATCATAATGATATTGATAATAACAAAAATGACAATCATATAATTAATGATGGTAACAATAATGATAATAATGTTGATGACAACAATGATAATGATAATGATTATAATAATGATAATGATAAAATTATGATGATGATAATAATAATGATAATAATAATAAGATTGAAATAAAGATGATGATAGTAACAATAGCAATATTAACGGTGATGATAATAATAATGATAGTAGTAATGATGATGATGATGATACTGATATTAATAATAACAATAATGATAATAATGATGATAACAACAACAATAAGGATAAAAATGATGATAATGATAATGGTAATGATAATAACAATGAAGATAATAATAACGATAATGGCGATAATAATAATAATAGTAATAACAATAATAGTAATAATAATAGTTACAATAACAATAACGATGATATCTAAAATGATAGTAATAACAATGATGATAATAATAGTAATAATAATGATATCAACAATGATGATGATGAAAATTTTAATGATAACAATGATAATGATAGTAAGGATAATAAATCTAATTATTATATTGATAATGGTGATAAGAATGATAATATCAATAATAATAACAATGATAATAATAACAGTAAAATGATAATGATAATGAAAACAGTAATAATGATATTGAATAAGATGCCAATGGTAATGATTATAATAACAATGATAAAGATAACAAGAAGCACCCAGAGAGCGCATACCTCCGCCAGGGTAATAAGGTCACTGATGCAATTAAAATATTCACACTTGAAGCATTACATGAAAACCCCCTCTTTCTCAAGTACAATGACGTCACATCAGTAAACATAACCTCCTTGGCGGAGATAACAAAGGTAATAATAATAGTTACCCCCTCCCCCCCCTCTCTCTCCTTCTATCTCTCCCCCCTCAGTTACCCCTATTTCCTTGGCAAAAGGGGTAACTGATACCATCAAAAAAGTTTAAACAATTCCTGAATCCGTATCATGATCCGGACCACCACCACACACCACATATATATATATATATATATATATATATATATATATATATATATATATATTTTTTTTTTTTTTTTTTTTTTTTTTTTTTTTTTTTTTTTTTTTCAATAGATCACACACACACACACACACACACACACACACACACACACACACACACACACACACACACACACACACACACATATATATATATATATATATATATAATATATAATATATATACATATAAATGAATAAAGATCTTTCACAACTTTTAGAGTCATCCCGCAAACCATCAAGCAAACAAACAAACAAACTAACCAGCGCTACCAAGAGCAGAACCTCCTCGGCGGAGGTAATAACAACGGCAAAGATAATCATA